GACAAGGCTTAAATCTGCATAAAAAGATTTAGGATCATGCTCAAAAGATGGCTGTATTGAAGGAAACTTCGCATCACATTCAACTTGAGTCCCGTACTCTCTCCATATTTGCTGGAACTGAATCATGTTGAAAGTATGTGTCACAGATCACAATCAGCTCTAAGATTATCACTGGTCTTCCATATTATAGTTAAATAGTGACACCTGCCTTTTATTGTGCATCCACACATTCTACAATATAACTGCAATTTTTTATTTTTTATTTTTTGGAAGTGGATAACACTTACTCTTTTTTTCTTGATAATTGTGATGTTGCGCACCTCAATTAACTCCATAGGGTACCTGACGGCTGACACTTCCCACTCCACAGGGTACCTGCTACTTCCCAGCAGTACTGTACCGCGTAACTCTGTCCACCAAAGCTTGGATAGATGTGAAGAAATCACCTAGTGCTTTTTGCCTCCATTGAGATTTAAATTTGATCTCATGGTTCTCAAACCACTTCATTCACCACTAGATCACACCCTTGGCTGCGGTACTTTTCTCCTTTTTTTCATTTACTCTACCGCTTAACAATACTAAATTACATCATCCCAAATACTAGAACTAATCTAAACCATTACAGGCCTAATTTCTTAGTCTGAGGACAAGAGCTAATAAGTCCCTACATATGCCTAGGGGGGGAAAAGAATTAGATCCTGGTTGAGAACTCTAAGGTTTCAGGTTCGAGACAAAAACACTAGGTGACTTCTCACCATTTGTCTTAATCTTGGTGGACAGAATTACCTGGTGTCTATTGTTGGTGGGAGGTGGCGGGTATCCCGTGGAATTGGTCAAGATGCACACAAGTTGGCCTATACACCGCGATTCTCAAAAAAATATATCATGAATATCCCTGCTTTAGTCCATGAAAAGCGTTCTTGGAAAAGTTTCACTTCATACACACCATGCAAAGGAACCTACTAGGTATCTCAAGAGGCGACTGTTGGCTTGTTTATTCGTCAATATGCTTAAGGAGTTAAAGTAAGAAAATGTCCCCTTTGTCGAGAATTTGACCATGTGTGTATCTAAGTGAATATATGACCCATTTAATCTATGGAGATTTTGCAAGTATGAGCTTCAATGTTCACGCAAGAATCGTAATCAACATTATGCATCTTAACCAAACAAACATCGATAAATTTATCTCCAAGATAAGAATATATTGCATCATTAAAGTGAGAATGTGCTTGATGACATAGACTGAAAGTAAGCACACTTCACTAATAACAACTACTTCCAGATGAAACCAAAAATTAACGGCAAATAACAATAAGGAACACATCCAACAAGTCATATTGGGTGTTGGAAAAAGCATGTCAGTAAAGCAAAAGGCGTGAAACAAGAAATTTGAAAATCCACCAAATAATCTTCGTCTATATATAATCGTTTTTTCTGTTTTCTTTCCTCTTCTATTTTTGGATCACCAAGAAATCTATGTGGGTTAAACAAGTCTGTCATGCACGGTTGACTAACTTGGGGGAATCTTAACCCACCCTCTACACTCCTCCAACTTGAATACCAGGCTTCAGTCAACAATAGGTTTTGAAATTGTGACTCTGCGCTGTCGTTTTTTCCCGTTAAACCAAAGCAGAGACTTCTACATATGATCATTTTTTAGCCAATTTTAGAGTTATCTTGCAGCTGTAGCACTTATATTTGAATCCATCCCACTCAAGATCATTCTTCCTATCTCTAATCGAACTAGTCCACTATCTCTTAGCAACTGTACTTCTTAGTTTCTAGACATTATAGCACATTACGATAACATATTTAGCCTCACTTGCTCCTATAAGAATGCATCTGCCAGCTGAGTTGGTCCACCACATTTCCCAACTGACCATAATTCATTGAAGTGCCAATCAGAGGTGTGAATATTAGTTGCTGATAACAAATTGAACTAGAACTATTTATCATTCCTTCTTTACCTTTCCATCTTTTCCCAGACTTCTCCAACACATCAAAAAGATTTTAAAATAATTTTTTTTTAAAAAAGAAGAAGAAAGAAGCATCGAAATTGATGCATGAGACATATACTCTCTCAGTTTCAATTAGTTTGTCTTAGTATCTTTTTTAGTCCGTTTCAAAAAGAATGCCTCAACCCCTTTTTGGCAAATGTTTAATTCTAAATTTCCAAATGACATGTTTAAAACAACAAGATTTAAAAGCATTATTCACTTTCTTAAACTCCTATCAAGTCAAAAATTGAAACAAAGGGAGTAACAGATAAACGGGATCATACACAAACTGATCATGAGTTAGAGAAGTGCGAATTTACTTTTCTAATAACAAATTTATCAAACAAATACAAACATAAATCCAACAAAAGTATACCCTTTCCTTAACAAACTATCATAGTATTCCACTATTTATATATCACCTTTTTCTTCCGTCCAGCACTTACAGTAATACCTCCTAACACAAAATTCAAATAACAAAACATTACCCAGATCAGAACACAAATGATTAACAAAAAAACAAATATAAACCCAGAAAGTTAAAACCTTTCATCAATAAACTACCGTACAATTCTCAATTTTAGATCACCCAGATCAGCGCATGAAACAAATCACAAAGACACCCAAAAAAAAGGGAAAAAAAATAGAATTCCGGTTACCGTGGTATACAGATTTGACAAGCGATTCAATATTTCCTTCTTGACGAAAAACAAGAGGAGGATCAGAAGTTTGATTTGAAGAATCAATGGAAATTCCAGCGGAATCATAGCCTCTATACTCTAAACGCCTCAAACCATTAAAGAGAACTTCAAGGATGTATCTTCTCTCTCTGGTAACATTGTAATTCAAGTAGGCAAATATTCCACACATATTTTCTGGAGATATTTTTTGATTGAATCAAAGAAAAAATGATTTTTGATTTGAAAAAATAGAGAAATAAATATATATAGTAGTAGTGATGTGGAGTAGTATTTTTATGTAATAGGGGGGGAAAGCACATGGGAAAGAGGAAGAAATTTGACTTTTGACTCTTCAATTTGTTTGATGATTGGGATTTCAAACAGATCATTCCAACTAATAGGAATTTAACAAGTCATTATGAGTTGTGATTATTCTTGATTTATTTTTGCTAAAATGTAAGAATGTGGTAAATATGGTACTAATAAACAATTTGATCAAATAAAGAGATACCATATTAAAATATCATTAATGTCTTTGATTACTTTTTTATGTCAAAAGAGAGGGGGATTTTCCTAGGATTATAGTCTCAGCCCCCCTATAAAGAAGTATTTTTTATTTCTAATTTATGTGATACAGATTTTGAGAGTCAAAAATGTGAATATAGATAAAAATAAGTTTTTTTAAAAATAAAATGTATATATTTGAAGTCAGAATAATTGATAATTTAATTTATTAACAAGATATTTTATAAAAAAAATTATGATAAAAAGAAAGATTCGTTAAAATTTCAAAAATCAAAATATGTCACATAAACTTAAATGGATGGAATAGTTTTAAAATTTGCAACCTCAATTCTACTTTAGTTGACATTATTTTTTTATTAATTCATTTAAGGAAAAAAGACACATTCTTATATTTCATTTATGAGAATTTTTTATAGCCACAAAAATGTTACTATAACATATCTAAAACTGCAAATTTTAAAAATATTATAATCACCGAAATGTGATGCTATAACTAAGACCAAGTTTCAAAATATACTTTTTATGATTAAATTTTTTATCAAGTCAAACTTATTAATTTAATTTTATGATTTTTGTATGTTTTTCTAGAGCGGGTCTTATTACTTTTAGAGGTTGTTTGATTTGAACACAAATTATGCTAAAATTAGCTATTCTTGTATTATTTATTATTGACTCTTTAGTTTGTTGTAAAAAGAAATTGTTTGTTTAAAAAAAATATCCTTCACTTTAATATACAAAGGGATTGAGAAACCCTTATGGATATTTTTGTCATTTTCATTATTTTATTCTGAAATAAATAATCTCAAATTGTTCCACCTCATGGATATTTTAATCATTTTCATTATTTCATTCAAGAATAAATAATCCCAAATTATTTCGTCCTCTAACCTGATATAACTTATCCTAAAGTTAGTAACCAATCAAGAAATTATTATTTAAATCATATTAATAAAACAGAGTGTATAGAACTTGGGAATTATAAAGTGAAAAATCCATGACTCTATCCTTGAGTTTGTAGTTCAAAGGTTGGCAGTCCTACATATCAAAAGGCTTATTGGATTTTCTACCTTATTTTTTATGATAAGGAAAATTCGCAGCCGTTACATTTTGGGTACACACAGGGTAAAGCTTCCGTTCCTATGCAATATCTCGCAAACCACATAGGAGAGGTAACCCGCACTAGCCCGGTGCGACGAGTTCGACCCAGAAGGCAAATCCCTTGCTTTCGCTGGCAAGGAATTTCGAACTTGAGACCTCCAACATGGAAGTTTCAAGCCCAAACCACATTTTCTACCTAGACTACATTCCTTGAGAGTTTTGTTATTAAAAGTGGTTATTGCATTGGTGAGTCTAGTAGATTTATAAGATTTGAAATAATAAATTTATGATATATATATATATATATATATATATATATATATATATATATATATATATATATATATATACTAGAGAGACATGGCCCGTGCTGTAGCCTTAATCAGCAACACAATGACACTCATATGCTTTTCATGGGTGCACTGTTAATTATAGTCTAATATTTGTCAGTTTCTCAAAATAGATATACATATATATACATAATTTTTTCTAAAGTTACCGGTTGCACATGAACCCCCACCTAGAGGGGTGGATCCGCCTTTGCATGCTCAGCATGAGCCCAACATAATAACTTTGTTCTTCATAGACGATAAATTTTATCGCTAAAAATTATATGAAGCACAAATTACAAAGAATCAATTTATTGAATTGTCTTCCTCAGAGTCCATTGGACTCTCTTTTCTTCTCCTTTGAGTGTTCTCTTGTTGGGCTGAAAACTCAACATACATAGTATCAGTCACGCGAAAATCAATTCATTTTTCGAGAACAATCGAACAAAATGAGCATATCATCAAACTATGAAATAATTTTAACTTTATTGGAATTGTCACAAACTTGCAATGCGAGTGTTTCGAAATTGTCAAAATTAGCAAGTGTCATTTTTTGTGGAAAAACTTATTCGGATATATCTGCACCACAAATAATTCTTTTTGCTTCTTCACTTCATTTAACAGAACAACAACAAATCAGATCTGCAATAAAAATAAGCTAAAAGGCATAAATATCAAATTTGAAGGAAATTTATCGTCATTGATCAAACAAATCACAAGGAGCAGGATAAATAATAACTAATCTTGCCGTGTACATAGGAATAAAAGATTCACTTCAACCAAAGTTAGGAACCATTTGTCGTAAGCATTTGAAGACCCCATAAAAACGTCAAGCTTTTCATTACCATATGGAGTAATTTTTAAGTTGAATTGTTCACTTTCTTGAAGACAATGCTTTACCTCTACACTTTCCAAAGTTTTTCAAAATTAAATTTAACTTTGAGCACCAATTGTTACTTGAAACTGTTCATCTCATAAAGTTATCCACTATGTACACATACTAAAGAGACCACTTAAATTTGGAGCAGAGAGTAGCAGTTTGACCGTAGACTTACCACTCCATAGAAATGATTTCAAGTTGAAACAAATATTAAGTCAACATATTTATTTGAAATTTTTCTCAACATCTTCTTTAATCAAGGTAAGTTTATTAATCTGCAATATTAATAAATCATTCAAAAGGAACTCAACACAATTATAGTTCCATCTAAAAAATGAAAAACCACATGAAATGATGAACTAAAAATATTAATTGAATACAATTGTACATTAAAGATTCATCAACATAATTTTTGTTGGCATGTGTGTCCAATTAAAATAAAATAGACCTATAAATGTCGAGCAAAGAACCAAGATATTGTTGGGTTCAACAATAATCATGATGTCACACCATGTGGAAGCTTACAATTACAAATTAAGACGGTGATAAATTAGATGACAAAAAACTTTTATTAAAAACATAGTATTATAATATGAAAAACTAATATAAAAGAAAAATAATAAAATTGTTAACAAAATAACTCTCCCTATAAACAAAACTCTTTAAATGACTATATTGTGGATGTTATGATGTTGTGTTGTATTCTGGTATGAGATGATGTGTCTTCAATTTATAGAATTTCAAACTTTTCTTTCAAGAAAAATAACCCAAATATGGAAGAGAATTATATTTTTCTTTTAGGAAAAATAAAAGTATTATAGTTATACTTTGACTTTGCTTCAAGAGAAAAATAAATATCTCTCCATATATATATAAAGGAGGAAATTGAAAATCTAATGTGGCATAGTTCTTTGATCAGGATTTCCAATTATCTTTTTTCTCAGATTTTAGAGAATTTTCTCTTTATTTTAGGATTTAAAATATTATATTAAAGTATTCATTACCCCTTGAACTTGAAGCTTTTTATTCGGTGTACACCTAAACTATATTCCATTTTAATTATCCCCCCCCCCCCCCGAACTTGTTTATTCCTCCATCGCGTACACCTTTATTGTCCACTTGGCGTAGAAATTGACAACACACTCTACTAGGCGCGTGAGGAAGTGATTTTTTGCCACATCATAAATTTATATATTTTTAGGAACAAATGTAAATTCAAATTCGAAGAAAACGTTTTAGAAACCCATAAATAAGAAAATGTTGCTCAAAAGTTTACACAGGAAAAGATGTTATTCGTTAATTATGAAGTGTACATTATTCTTTTAATTGTGCATTTATCTTTTATCCTTTGTAATTGCCCGAGGAATAGGAAGTCATATTTGGGGGGAAGACAATGTGAAGAAAGAACAAGACACCAAAGAGTTTGCTTCAATTTTTTTATTATTATATAATTTCACAAGGCACAATGCATATGATATAATGAGAAAACTTAGTAGGCATTAAACCACTTTCATTGTACAATTTTTTTTAAAAACAATTGTTATTTTCAAAATGTAAATAATTTATGAAAATTGGAGTTTTGTAATGCAAGTTCTAATTATTTTTTACATTTTGTCAACAATTTGAAGTGAAAATACATTTTGAGTTGAATTTTAAAACTTTGTAGTCAATATCTTTTTCGAAGTTGAAATTCAAAAAAAAATAAAAAATTAATGATCAAATGCCTCCTTTAATAACTTATGATTGGATAGGCATGAGAGAAATATTAATTTGCAAAGAAATGGAAAAATATTGATAGTTTAATTTTTTAAATTATTTCCTACCATATGATATACATTAATTATTTTTCTAACAAAATTTTAGTTTCTTATTGTTTGTAGTTTTTCTGTTTCTTTTTTAAATTTAGTCATGAAAACTTAAAATAATAGAATGGTCAAATGAAGGTCTAATGATAAATTGAATTTTCACAATTCAATGATATTTGATGAAATCATAAAATTATATATGATATTTTTGAACTTGGGGCACATAAAACAAAGAAAACGTGTCTTAAAATAATTATTAGCCACCATGTATTCTAAGTACAACTTTAATTTTCAAAATTATTTATTTCTTATGTTTCTTTTATTTTATTTTTGTTTTTCAAGTTTAAATAGCTAATTTAAATAGATTGTTTTGCCTTTATATTGAAATGTTTTTTACCAATACTTCAAGATAGTTTTTGTATAGAATGTTAAAAGAATTATAAAAAGATGATAGAATCATAAATGATATTTCTTACGTAGTATTTTTTATAGTGACTCTAGAAGTAATTATTTATATACATTATGGTTTAGCTAAATTTTACACTCTGTTTAGACGAGCAAAAGTAATTATTTTATAAATTTTAAAATAAATGAAAGGAAAAATTATGTA